TGGTTAGGGTTAATACACAAATCATGTAACACACCCATGCTCATCCAGGGCTTCAGGGTGACAGCAGACCTTGGATAGACCTAGGATCCTTCTGTACAACGGCACCACCCCTGCAACTTGGACTGAAGGAGAAGCTGCAGCTAGTAGAAAACTGTATAACATAGAGCCTAGCTAGTTCACCATAATGTACCGGCACTAGTGATCAGTGTTCAGGGCAGGTGTGGGGTTATTGGGTTGCTCAGATTTGGTGAAATATTTGCAAGCAATTTGTTGGCATGGTCCATTTAGTAGCACTTGTGCATTGGGCCAAGTGTTCAAGTCCTTGTCCTCCAGTGAATATTTAGTTATTTATATAAAGTGGAACAGTTCAGCAGGAGAGACTGAAAGCATCACTATACCAATATTCTAGTGGTTAGAGCACTCACGTGGAAGTGGGAGAGGAACTGGAGTTCAAATCCCTACTCCAGAGTGGATCTGAACCCAGTTGAGTGCTCTAACCACTGGGATAAAAGCTTTAAGGTGGGTCCCACCATCACTTCCCTTTGGCCATCTTATGAACATAGCAGCACAGATTTTTTTGAGAATATTCGGCAAATTCATGGCAAATTCACAAATAGCTTTGGGTCAATCGAAGCGGCATTTGGCGAATAACCTGTTTGGTCAAACAATTTCATCCAGCTCTGGGATTATGGCATTATTTTGTGTATTAATGTATGGGATGGGAACCTTCACCTATGTTTTGTAAATTCAAAGAAATAACTAAAATGACTGCATGGGCAAATGACTAGCATTGACCACCCACACATGCAGTTACTTACTTAGTCCTGGCAACTGCAGTAATTGCTTGCAGAGGGTTGGCATGCTCTAGCCCATAAAGTCCTGACATTTAACTTAAACCTCATTACATTCTGGGCAAGATCTGATATTGCAACACACTTAGCTAGATTTTTTACACACATGCAGAATATTGCATGCTATACTGTATGGCAAATTCACTTATATAATGGGGGTGTTTAAATAACAATTTCTAGTGCCTTAATATATATGTGTGTGTGTGTGTTTAATCACAGACAAATCACTTGATCAAAACTGAGTAGAACTGAATACAAAAATGATCTATTAAAAAAAGAATATATGGTCTCCTCTCCAAAGTGCTAGCTGCACTTTGTCATCCCTTTACCTCCTTTAAACCCAATTCAGATTAGAGCCGCTATCTTTCACGATTATGTAAAAGAAGTGATAAAACGTGGCTTTTCAAAAAAAATCATGTTTGTACAAGAATTTGCTGACATTTTGTGGAGTGATAACTTGATAGTGAAAATATCCAGATCCCCCCAGACCTGGAGTCTGGAATTAGTAAAAAGAGCCTTTCAGGCATATTCAAAACTAACTTCTGTTCCTTTTCCAGCACTAAATCGGATCCTTTTATTATTTTTTGGTAAACCGACCTATACAATTTTAAATAAGTATTTGCCAGATTTACTGGGGTTTGGTGCCTGCCTGAACTGTGCTCTAATCATTTCACACTATTTTTTTTAAACAGGTAAAAGGAAGAAACATTCTAGTTTAAATTTAACTTGCTGGTCACGCTTGCCAATAAATACGCAACCAGATGAAATGATGATGAGGTTGGAATGTAATCTGTGCTCGGAGAGGGCTATCGGTGCTGTAGCAGCAACAGAAAAATGACATTTTGCTTCTTGTTAAAAACTAGCAAACCAGTTTGGCAGTGCCAGTGTAATGCCAACAGACCCTGATTGCTGGTGGGCAAGATTGAACCAGGGTCTGCTGGAGCTTAATGTATACGCCTCTTCTGCATGACCTACTGGCTATTACCTAAGGCTGTAAAGCAGACTCATTCTCTCTCTCTCTCTCTAAGTGGTCTCGGTGCCACTAGATGGGACAGAACACCACACCCAGGAGGTGTGGGGGTTACACCAGCATAAGGTGTCTCAACCCCAGCTCTCCCTAGAAAGGCCTGGTGGCCTATTAACAGCTACAGCTGCTTAACTGAAATGGTTTGTGTTTTAGTGCCCATGGTAGAGTCATGCATTATAATGGAGTTTTCAATACACTGTACCTAGGTGATTGCAGTATATCAGCTGCTTGTAAGATGGCTCTGTGGCATAATGGATAGTGCATTGGACTTCTAGTGTGGTGATAAGTCAAAGTCATTCAAAGGTTGTGGGTTCAAATCCCCCCAGAGTCAATTTTTGCACCATCCAAGGTAATATGCAAACTTGGGTGCTGAAGATAACAGGGCAGAAAAGCTGGTTGATTGATTGGTTTGTCAGCAGTCTTAGCAGTGAGTGTTGTCTGTGGGCCAGACTATGATGCTCTTATTCATACAGAATAATACCTTACTGCACAAATCGCCTCAGGTCCTTATGGGGCTCAGCCATATGAGGTATTACTATGCTATCACACATGGAAGTCAACCATTGGTTTTCAAAAGGAATTGAAGGGACCTCAGTGCCTTGCAGAATTGCAGCCTTTGTTCCAGATAGAAGGCCAAATCTTCAGCTGGTGCCAATTAGTGAGGTTTCTTCAAAGTTAAATTGGCATATGACACTATGCCAGCTGAAGGTGTGGCCCATAATTTTCTTCTGGATAGGTTCTGTACTGGGTGTGGGGGGACAGGGTAACTTTCTAGAGCACGCATGTTCTATTGTAACATAAGTATTAGATTATATGCTAAAGGAATTGGTACAAAATACACCCTGCATCTAACAAATGTTCTCTGCAGAGGCACTCGTCAAACAGATGGCTGTAAGAGGAATAACAAATAAAGTTCGTGATTAACATAAACTTACGATTCAGTTTAGTGGCCAAGTTTTAGAGTGTGAATTTTTAAATCATTTGTTTCAGTGCTGTCCAAACTAAAAGGTTATTTAGTGGTCCCATCCCTGCCTCGTGTGGAGATTGTCATCTGGACACTAAACCATCCCAGTTGGGATGACGTTTATCCCAGCTTCATGAAGATTTCTCTCTCCAGAGTACGCTTGGTGTACGCCAGACTGTGTCAAATGACACTCATTCTTAAAAATGCTTTGTAGGAAAGGATCCCCCTGAAACTTTTCTCCCCACCAGGAAATTACTCAGTTGAAACACTACTTCAGATGCACAATCTGCCTCTTCTTAATGCTGTTCAGGTATTTACAAATGAAAGCTGTAAAATTATGGATCATTACCCTGATCTCTTAATTGGTCGCTGTTATCTTCTTAAAGTAACTTCTCTGTAATGCTTCTATACTAACAGATTTGGGCGTCCAATGTAATTTTTTAGCTTCATAAAGAAGCAGCAAATCATGACAATAATGTGAGACCAAGTAAATATAATTTCCCATTTCCCATATAATGAGCTATACCAGGCCATTTGACTTTTAAGAACTCCTCTTTATTGAAGTCAATGGGGAGTTTTGCTTAAACATCAATTACATGTTTTAGACTGTCGTGGAGTCATGCCTAGAGCAGGGCAAATACTTGAAAAACCCTGAATTTTGAATAAAAGCACCCAGTTTTGTTTGCGGTTATTGACGGTATCTTAGTAGTAGTAGTAGTATTTTATTACTATCACAAGTATTTGCATAACAGTGGTGTGACAGTTCAGGAACCCCTAGAGTTCCTTGAGTTTTAGGACAAATTTGTTCACCCAAAATATCATTAGTATCTGAAAGAACAGTTAATTTACAATTCAAGGGCTCAAAGTTGTTTGTCCAAACTAGGAGGATATTTCTGACATCATTATCATTAGGTTCCTATCTTTATTTTTCACTGCTTATTAATAAAATAGTTCTGTTGAAATCCGTGTGTTTTTGTGCAGAGATTTTTTGTCTATATCAGAGAACAGTGCAAAAACATGAGTCAGGTTACATGTCTCTGTTTTTTAAATCTGAAATTATAGTTTTGGATGGTTGTTTTATAATGTGCTGTATGGAAGCTACAGTTGGTATTTTTAGCCCCAGCCAGTTTGTGTGCAAGAGAAAACAGTCTCTCTCTAGATAGCTAGAAAAATATAACTGGTAACTCTTGACAAGAAAAGGGTCAGCAGTAAACAAAAACAAAACCCCAATGAAGTTACATCGCTAGTCACTTTTTCTTTGCTTTGGATTCACTATTTTCAGTTGATCTCTTTAGGGACAATATTGAGGAAATTCTGTAATGGAAAACAGACATTTTTATACCATTGGAAAATAGAGTATTGTGCTGGGTATTTATTCCTGGCTTTCTTGCCCAAACCTCTGGCTTGAACTTGTACTATACTCCCCTGGCCTATCAATAATCATAGAAATAAGAGATGAAAATTACTTATTAGGTCATCTACATCTCTCTGCCAATGCGGGGCTGCTCCAGTGATTTGCTGAATATTAAATATCTTGAGCAATGAGGCTTCCATCACCTCCCTTGGGAGACCATTGCATGCTCTGATAGATCTTGCTATTAGGGCAGTTTTTCCGCATACTCGGCCTAATTTTCTCTTTACTTAATTTCCTCCTATTACTCCTAGTTTGCATCCCCTGGTATCACCCTAAACAATTACTCCCTTCCTGTGGGTTACAACCATTAGATATTTGTATGATTATCATTTTGGCCCTCTTCTCCTTGCTTCCACCCTGAGTTGTCATTTGGCTAAGCTATTCAGGTCTGGTTTTTAATTTTTTTAATAAATAAGTCCTGACGGTATCTTAATTCCTATTCTTTTTATGGCCCGTGGGACAGAATGTGTCTCAAAATGAATTCCTTTTTAAAAGGTAAAATATATTAATAAATCCTCTGAAATTATGGTGACCCTCCTGCTCCTGGGAGAATCTCCAATGTCACGATGGGTCTCGGTAAATATTTATACCTGATGAATTAGCAGCTGGCTACTAAGTGCCGTGATTACTCCAGTAATTTTGTAAGCAAATGGAGATCTGGCATTTGGTGTTCAATGGATGCAGCACAATTTGTTCTGTTGGACTTCCAGAGAACTTACTCAGTGCTGGTGACATCATTGTTAAAACATCCGACTCTCCCTGTGTTTCCATCTGCAAAACACTGAAGGATTTCCCCCCCCCCC